CTTTCTTTTGCTTGTTTATACATTATATGAGTATTCAAATATTTTGCATATATTAATTTTTTATGATGCGATGACATACTCCGCATGACTAACTACTTGGTTCAACCACTACAAAGCCCCAATACTTATTCATATGTTTATTCTTAACTGTATTCGGTTTCATATTTAAGTAAAAATATATATATTCTTTTATGTGTTTCATAACTTATTCAGTGTTTTCAACTATTCATGCTTCAAAGAGGGAAAAAATCAAGTTTTACAAGGTGAAAAGAAAAGTAAACTACAATGAAATGTAATTTCAAAGAGACTTTCATTTTCCACAAAATCTATTTTATTTTCTTAGAAAATCGTGATAAGTATAGCCATCATCATTGTCATCAACCTAATTCAAACCATCTAGAGTTTTATCCCCATCAATTAATATTCTTTTTTTTTTTTTTGAGAAAATGCAAAATTTCATTAAATAACATCAATTCGTATTCAATGCTAATTAACATGGGCGTTTTAGTTGCCTTTTTTTTTTTTTGCGCTTACAACATGTCATATTACGGGCACTTGTAATTTCATTTGCTCTTTGCACTTCAACTATAGAACGATGGCTTTTTTGGGTTATCTTATGTATGACGATGCCATGAAATCACACTTTGCACTGAATCTTCAAGCCGGGAAGATTGGTTCAAAGATAGTAATCTACGAAACATTGATCAATCCATTTGCCAATTATGCTCTCATTATTACGCCAATTGCTTTGTCTGTGGAAGAATGGTTAGCATTTCATTGGATTTTGATTCTTATTGGAATCTGATTCTATATAAAGCTGGAAATGAGTCTTAGATTGGTATTCATTGCTATTTTTTGCATTTAAAAGATAACAAAACAAAAAAATATAAAAGAAAACCTCTCTCGCTGCTCTCGCTCTCCCGTGCCCTCTCGTTCGCAATAGTTGGAGTAGAAGTGAGCAGATTTGACAGGCATGGCCACTTGAGATATTCTTCGCCGAAGAAACTGTCGAATCAAATCCGGTTGTCTCACCAAATGGAATCAATGCGAGAGGGACATCTCGTCGAAGTATTCCCAATTTCCAAAGGCATGTTTTCCAACTCTTCTTCTCCTACAAGTAAATTACTTGTTTAAGATTAGATTTCTTCTACCCCACTCCAGAACAAAACTTGGTATCAAAAAATATGTCGCCATGAAGTCTCTTTGCAGCTATATCTCCATCATCCTCTCAGGTAATTTATAACCTTTGCGTCTCTCTCTCTCTCTCACACACAATTTCTTGACAATAGTATCTCCTGAATTATCTGGAGCAAATATCATAGTGGCAAGGATGATACTACCACTCAGCCCTGAAAAGCCTGTCGGAGCTCTGCTTCTCTTTCTGCGCCTGGTGGAGCCGCGCCACTCTCTCTGGCATCTAAAATGACCTCCAGTAATTGTCGAGGGCAATGTTGTAATTAACTAGTATAATTGTTTTACGTATTTAAACACTTGTAAGCTACAGTAAAATGCAATCAAATGAAGTTTTACTGTTCATCTTCCTTATGCTTCTCTTCACTACTATATCAGTGGTCTCTTGGTTTCTACAGCTTCTTCATGGTATCAGAGCCATCAGCCTAACGGCTCAATCGCGCAATGGCTGACTCTACCGCCCCCACCCCCAGCACACCTCCTGGTGCTGGTATTACTTTGGAAGCTCCTACACCGCCAGCTGAGGTTGTCATTCCTCCGACTTTGAAGTTCCTGTTAGCCAACATCAAGAATGTCATCAATGTTCAACTGCTTCCCGACAACTACCCCACTTGGCATTCTGCTATCTACAAGTTGTTCACTACTAATAATTTTTCCGGCTACCTGGATGGGACGATTCTTCCTCCTCCTAAACATCTTCTAACTGCTACCGGCCAACTTACCCTGAATCCTCAATTTTCTACCTGGACACTGATTGACCAAAACCTTTCGGTCGCTCTTTTCTCAAAAATCTCCCCATCGATCCTTCCTTATATCCTCACTTTGGATACATCTGCGTCTATCTGGAAGACATTAGAGCAACGCTTCTTCTCCACTAATCGCTCCCGAGTCATCCAACTCAAAAATGAGCTTCACTCTCTTTCCATGCTCAACAAAACAATGACCGAGTATCTTGCCTCCATTAAGAGCCTTGTCGACAACATTCGTGCGGCCGGTGGCACTGTTGACAATGAAGACATCCTTCATTACATACTTAATGGCCTACCACCCTCTTATCAATCCTTTAAAACCACCATTAGGAGCTCACTTCATCCCATTTCTTTGGATGATTTATATTCACTTCTTCGCAGCGAAGAAGTTCATCAAACCATTGATGCCATCCGTGACCTTTCCTTCAACAGCTCCTCTCATCCTGATGGACATCTTGCTCTATTTTCAAACCGAGGCCATTCTCGTGGCCGTTCTTCCTATGGTCATGGCCGTGGTCATTACCCCTCCAACAATACATCGCGACCTCCTCCACGAACCCCTCAGTTTGACGTTGAATGTGAAATTTGCGGTAAGAAGAGACATTCTGCCACCTCCTGCTGGCACCGTGGGAACTTCAACTACTCACCCACTTCTTCCGACAATAATGTTGCTCTGGTAGCCGACTCAGACTCATCTCCATGGTACCTTGACAGCGGTGCTTCTGCTCATCTCAATCCAGATCCCCTTCCTCTTCAACAAGCAACTCCCTACTCAGGACGTGATCAGGTCTATGTTGGCAATGGTACCTCTCTTCCCATCCAACATGTTGGTAATGGTCTTCTTCCTACTCCTACTCGTAAGCTTCGTCTCAATCAACTTCTTCATGTTCCTCAGCTCACGCATCGCCTCTTATCTATATCTAAATTAACCTCGGATAATAACTGTTCCTTTACATTTGACAAATTCAGTTTTCATGTTAGGGATACGATGACCAATCAACCACTACTCCACGGACGCTCCCATAATGGACTTTACCCAATTCTGTTTCAACACCAAATCCTAGCCTCTTCAACAACCGTCGCTACGCCTCGCTCTGCTCTCTCTTGGCACCGTTGTCTTGGTCACCCCAATGTCAAGACCATGGTTGCGTTACAAAATCTTTTCCGTCTTTATGTATTGCTTCTTTCAAGTCTGTTTGTAGTTCTTGTGCACTCGCTAAGAGTCACCGATTGCCCTTCTTCTCCTCTCAGCATGTATCCAGTTCTGTTTTAGATTTAATACATGTTGATGTTTGGGGTCCGGCTCCAATTTGCTCTTATGATGGTTTTTGCTATTTCTTATTAATTATAGATGATTATAACAAATATAGCTGGCTCTTTTTCCTTAAACAAAAATCTGAAGCTACCGTCTCCTTAATTAATTTTATCACTGCTATTGAAAAACAATCAAAATCCTCTATTCGAACCCTTCACAGTGACGGAGGAGGAGAATTTCAAAATACGATCCTAAAATCCTTTACCACCTCTCATGGCATCACTCATCAATTCACTTGTCCCTACACACCACAACAAAATGGTGTCTCTGAAAGGAAGAATCGCCATCTGTTAGATACTGCTTGAACTCTTCTTTTTTATGCCAATCTTTCTTCTTCCTTCTGGTATGATGCCGTCTTAACAGCCACTTTTTTAATCAATCGTTTGTCGTCATCAAATACTTCTAACAAATCCCCCTATCATCTCCTCTATAATCATCCCCCCAATTATTCAATTCTACGTCCGTTCGGGTGTCAATGCTCTCCATAGACAAAGCCTCTCAGTTCAAATAAGCTTTCTCCTTGCTCTGTCTGTTGTGTCTTTCTTAGGTACATTCCTCACACAAAAGGTTTCAAATGCTTTAATCCCACCACCTCCAAAATCATCATATCCCGACATGTTGTTTTCAATGAAAATTTATTTCCGTCTCTATCATCTCCACCAACTCCACCAATACTGCCTTCTACTGCACCTCCTTTCTTCCCACCATCCTCTTCGTTACCTACTCTTATACCAATACCAAGAACACCTAGTTTCCAACACTCTACTTCTTCTTCTACTTCAGTCACACCGATGATTTCACCATCCATATCCCCACCTACATCACAAACATTTTCTTCACCTACAATTATTCCTTCTCCTGCCGCCTCCTCTCCCATTAATAAACCCACACATCCTATGGTTACTCGACTCCAAACAGGACACCTCAAACCTCGTGTAATTCTCAATCTCTCTCACTCAATTTAGTCTCCTCCTACGTGCTTCACCATCGTCAAAAGAGACCATAAATGGCATCAAGCAATGTCTGCAGAATTTCATGCCCTTCAAGATCAAGGCACCTGGTCGCTTATTCCAGTTCCTGCCAATCAGCCTGTCATTGGCTGCAAATGGATCTACAAGTTAAAATATCTGGCTGATGGCACCATTGCCGGACACAAAGCTCGTTTGGTTGCCCAGGGGTTCAAACGGCAATATGGCATCGACTATTTGGAGACATTCATCCCTGTTGTCAAACACACAACAATTAGCTTGTTCCTACTCATCCCCTTACAGCACGACTGGGTTGTGTCTCAGCTTGATGTCATGAATGCCTTCCTTCATGGAGACATCGACTATCCCATTTACATGACATAACCGCAAGGTTTTGAGGATCCATCCCTTCCCAACCATGCTTGTTTACTTCACAAAGCCATATATGGCCTGAAACAAGCTCCGCGTCTTTGGTTTGCAACCTTATCCGCATATCTCCAAACCCAACACTTAACAGCCAGCTCGGCTGATCCTTCATTTTTCCATTACACCAAAGATCACCTCCATATCTATGTTTTAATCTACGTTGATGATATCCTTATAACAGGCAGTGATCCCCTCTACATTTCAAATTTGATCTCAAATCTTCAACAGAGGTTTAAGACAAGAAACCTTGGCCATCTCTCCACATTCCTTAGAATTAATTTCACTTGTTCGGCACATGGCTATCATCTCTCACAACACTCCTACATCAACGAACTACTACATATAGCTTCCATGTCCAATTGCAAGCCTCTGCTCACGCCCCTCCCCTCCAAATATCCTACAGATCCTACCCTTCAATTCCCTTTTGCTCAACCCAAGCTCTTCCGTCAACTCGCCGGCTCCTTACAGTTCCTCACCTCAACTCGCCCTGATATTGCCTTCGCTGTTAACAAATTGTGTGAGCATATGCACAATCCACTGCTTCTGCATTTCCAGCTCCTCAAACGAGTTCTCCGATATCTGAAAGGCACCTCCCATTACAGTCTGTTTCTTCCCAAGACCATCTTAAATCTTTCTGCTTATTCTGATTCAAATTGGTAGGCAATCAACTAGATCGGAAATCCACGATAGAATACTTTCTGTTTCTAGGTACCGCCCTCCTCACCTGGTCTATCAAAAAGCAAAAGACTGTTGCACGGTCCTCGACCGAAGCTGAGTATCGATCCATGGCCGCCGCCGACATTATTTGGACCCAGTGACTCTGTGAAGATTTTCTAATCCCTCTCTCGCCAACTGATCTCTTATGCGACAACGTCTTCGCAACGTCCATTGCCTGCAACCCCATTTTTCATGCCCGCACAAAGCATATCAAAATAGATCACCATTTTATAAGGAATTCTGTACAAGCCAAGCACATTGTCGTCCGACATATCTCTACACTTGATCAGCCGGCGGACCTTCTAACAAAATCTCTTCCATCGCCTCGACTCGCTATGTTACGTAACAAGCTTATGGTTCTTCCAACCATCAGCTCGAGGGACGGTGACAAGGATGATACTCCCACTCAGCCCTGAAAAGCCTGCCGGAGCTCTGCTCCTGGCGGAGCCGCGCCACTCTCTCTGGCATTTAAAATGACCTCCAGTAACTGTCGAGGGCAATGTTGTAATTAACTAGTATAACTGTTTTACTTATTTAAACACTTGGAAGCTACAGTAAAATGCAATCAAATGAAGTTTTACTGTTCATCTTCCTTATGCTTCTCTTCACTACTGTATCAGTGGTCTCTTGGTTTCTATAGCTTCTTCACATAGAACATTCCTTAATGATCATTGCCTTATACTTGAAGCAGTGCTCACTGTTTGGCTGATTACAAAAATCTTTGGCTCATTGGAGGGGAAGGGAAAGGATAGGGTAAGCTCTAATCTCTTTGTTTGGAATGAATTCGATGATATTGGTATAGATAATTGTTTTCATTCTTCTTGTCTTTGGGAGTGTACGTGTGGGCGGAATTTCAAACTAGGGGTATTTAATAAATTTATGGGTTATCTTGGATGAAGATGTTGGAGAACTCAAGTGTTAGTGGAGGCACGACAGAGCTAGGCCTACTTTTGAAGTCATTGTAATTAAATAATTATTAGTATTATTAAATAATCTAATTTAATTTAATTTAATAATTAGTATAATTATCATTAAATTAATTTAATTAATATTTGTTATTTATCACCAAAGTGTGCATTTTATGATAAAAATTTATTTAAATTTTTGTTATATGTTATATGTAATTCAATTTTTCTCAATTCAAATATAATATAAGTATAAATCATCTATATTGATACAAATATTATATTTAATATTGATATATAATTTAATATCTTTGATATATCATATCTTATATGATTTTTTTTTTTTATATTCACGTGTACCATGTGCACATGCATTTATAGTAGTATATAAAAAGACAATGAAGTTATTCATAAATAAAATTGAGTACATACAAACTGGATCATGCTGAGATTACATTCTTGAGCATTTCATATATATCAAACAAATAAGATAAGAAGAAAGAAAGAAGTTTGCTTATGTATTTTGAAATTTTCACTAAAAAAATTTGATATTAGGAATGTGAGCAATCTTGTGCCGATCGGAGCCTCCGTCCTCTCCATAGCGCTCCTTCAACTCTGGATGACATTCATCAATATCTAGACGTTCCAAAGAGGGAGGAAGGTTCGGTAATTCCCGAAGCATACGAACGTCCGAAATATATAGACGCTGAAGTGAAGATAAGCTTTCGATGGTGGAAGGGAGAGACTGTAAGGATTCGAAACGAAGAATTATCAGCTCAGAAAGAGAAGACCTAACAGTCAGAAACCACTGCTCCACCTCATTTGGAAACGAAACCACCTCATCATTATCCTTAATTTTCAGCACTTTTAAAGAGGCGATACTTCTCAGTGGCTCCATTAGCAACACGGATGGATCACTTATCGCAAGAACGTTGAGCATGAGCTGGCAATTGTTAGTGGTCTCCACTTCTCGATATCTTCCCAGAGAGATCAGATTGGGGCAATTTTTAATTCTCGAGTATCTTAGTGCTGCAAGCCTTGCTATTTCATCAGCCAGAGGAATAGATGTAATGTTTGGAAAGTCAACGACATCTAAATCTTCAAGTGGAATAGGATTTGAATTGCTACAAAAATTCAAAGTCTTCCACCCCATTTTCTCTATACACAAGCTCTTGAGCTTAGGAGGCAAAGAGGGAAACTCTTTCAACTTCGAGCAGTTACGTAGCACCAGTTCAATTAAGCAAGGAAACAAACATCCATCTTCAGCAGCTACTCCTGCCTCAAACCAATCCTCTAATGCTTCTAATCCCCAAATATATAACTTCTCTAGCAATGGAAAGGCACGGTATTTATCATTCCCATTAAATTTACTTTCGAGCCATTTTACTTTAGGCATTCTTAAAAGTCTTAGTGACTTGAGGAAGGGAAGTTGCCCAAAAGATGGAAGAGTTTCCCATTCACTGCAATCTGACAATTCGATTTTCTCTAGATTGATGATCGGATTGACATTGTTCATCCATATTGCAGACCTTGCACCCACATATCTCTTTATGCTGAGATTCGTTAGACATTTTTGTGGCTGAAGGTTGTTGAGCACATTCTCATCTAAATCGTTGTTCGTCGAATCAATGTGACTACGACTCCAACGTAAGGTCAAATCTGTGAGCCTCCTCTTTTCACATAATTGGGCATTACGAGCCTCCTCGCCATCCTTAACATTTTCAAGACGATTGATTCCTAATTTGTAAAGATCATTCATATTCTTCAGCTCCCCAATTCTATAACCACTCACATCTTTAAGTTTAAACTTATGCAGTTCTTGAAGAGACTTTAGCTTCCCAATCTCACATATCGATGAAATACAATTCTTGGGCAATTTCATGTAACACAAGTTTAAAAGGTTATTAATGTCATTTGGTAAATATCCATCACGTTCAAGTTTGTCTAGGCACCATCGCCTCTCACAAATTATGTATTGCAAGTGATAGAGATTACTTAGAGATTTTGGCAACATAGTCAAATTTTCATCATTAATATTTAAGTATCAAAGATGTATCAAATTTTCAATCTCCTCAAGTATCATTTTCAATTCAACTTGATCAACACATATGTATAATAAGCGTAGGCTTCTCGATGATTTCAATACTTCAATAAGTTCACTGCAAAGATCCTGATCATTAAAATCTTTATAGAACAAGAAAAGAGAATGCAAATGTTTCAACTTCTCAATCTTTCTTAAGATGTTTGGTTTTGCATTTAGAACAGATAAGTGTCGAATAGTCTCAGAAATTTTGAGAGATGACTCTTCATGATCCACAACTTTACCGCATACATGTGCAAAAAATCTAGATGCTGACTCATGTATTAAATCATGCATCTTGTAGTAATATCCGACCACCTTATTACTGTAAAATTTGATCTCAAACTTGTCAAATAAAACTTTTTTTACTAAAACATCAAAATACCTTCCTCCGATATCCTCCATAGTCATTTCTTGAGACGGCTGAATGAAACCCAATGCAATCCACATTCGGACTAAATCATCTTTATCAAACCTATGATCTTCTGGGAACATACAACAAAATGTAAAGCAATTTCGTAGATGATTTGGCAGAACTATATAGCTCAGTCTTAAGATGGAATGGATAGAATTCTGACCCAATAAATTGCTTTCTAGAACTGTCCTCCAATGCCTTGCATCCAAGTTCTCATTCAGAACACCACCAATGACCTTAGCCGCCAACGGAGATCTTGAAAGCTTTTTAACTATATCTCGAGCAATGACTCTTAAACTTTCATGATCATCAGGGGGGTTCTCTACACCAGCAAATGCATGAGAGTTAATGAGCTCCAAACACTCATCTTCCTCTAGGCCCTCTAATTGAACTATTTCCTTCTTCTTTTTAATTACCTTTGCAAACATTAGTGCAATTGATTCTGTTCGAGTTGTTACAAGAATCTTACTACCAAAACCCCCAGAAGATAGAGGGGCGAGCACATCCTCCCATTTGCTTTTATCCTTCTCATCCTCCTCCCAAATATCATCCAGCACAAGTAAGAACTTTTGGGACATAATCTCAGTCCGAAGGCAATATTGAAGTGCATCAAGCGTCTCCAACCGAGGCCTCTCTTTCTTATTAAGAGATTCCAACATATCTGCAATGACTTTCTTCACATCAAAGTTGTTGGAAACACAAGCCCACATTTTACAACCAAATTCCTTTGTAATTTCATCATTATAAACATGTTGCAAGAGAGTTGTCTTCCCCATACCACCATGGCCGACTATAGATAGAAGAGAAATGTTTCTGTACAAATCAGTTCCCCGATGCTCATTTGATGGATTCCTCAGCCACTCCATAACAAGCTCCTTCTCCTTGCC